GGCAGTTAGATGGAACTTGGTGCCTGAGACAGAGCTGATCAGAGGCAGCCCCACTGCCTTAGTCTTAGCAACTCACTGCCCACTGTCTGGGAGCAAGAAGGGGCAGACATTTGCACATGAACTATCGAGTTACATAAAGAAAATAGATTGCATATGTCAGACAGACGTGCATTCAGCTCAGCCACTTCAGTGCTGTCATACAGTGTGCTTGTTTAATAAAACTTTTCGATTTTAGCTGTGGCTACTTGGTGTCCTTTCTTTCCTTGCAGACCTGAGGAGACAGGGGTGGGGGCTGAGTCCAGATAGGTGGGAGAAGGCACTCTTGTCCGGGTCCTTAAATATAACAGCACATTTGATAATGTAAAAGCAATGGGGACACTGCTCTTCTGGTTTTAGATGAAGAAATGAAAATCCATCCAACATCATTTCTTCTGCACAGCTCAGAGATGAGTGAAAAACATCCTCCGCTCTTTCGCGGCTGTCCATCAAGACATGGAGGTCATGTCAGCAGCCGTCACCCAAGCAGACTTCTAAAGGTTCATTAATAGTAAGTAGATGGCCCCACTTAATGTAGGAACAAATGTAAAACGTTTCTACACCTCTAAAGGGCCTGTTGTGGGCCTAGGACTGCACTTGTCCTCCCAGAGTTGGCAATAAAGAAAAACGGTGCCCCCCACCCCCAGCCTCAGTGTACACCATGCAGAGACTTCTGTGTACATCATCCCATGTGATAAATCCCAGAGCCAGACTGAAGAGAACTGGGTGAGAAGGACCTTTGCAAGTTCCCAAGAAAGGTAGCAAGAGGGAGGGTAGAGGAGCAGGGCATAGCCTGGGTGCTGACAACAGCACTCTGCCCTGGCGAGGACAGGGAGGAGGTGGGCCTAGGCATGCCATCCTGGCTACCAGCTATCCCACACTGAATGCCTGCACATGGATGTGACATCTAGTTGGTCTTCCCTTTGCAGTCAGTGGTCCTTACTACCCTCGTAGCCCTACGTCTCTACCGGAAGTGAGGTCAGACTGTAGAACCTGAGCCTCTTGGCCCACAGGCTCCCAGATGCTGGGGACCAAGCACCAGAAGAAGAATTCTATGCCTGGACTTCAGCGCCAGCCTGATCAGCCCACTCCCAGGTTGGCCCAGCAAGAATGTGACTTGGAGGACGGCATGAGTCAGACATACTCTGCTCCCAGCCCCATCCTGCCCTGTTCACCCCTCCTGCCCTAGCCCTCACGCCTCCCACTGGCCTCTTCCTGCCAAGTCCCCTGGCAAAGGCCTTCTCTTCTCTGTGGCTCTGTTGAGTGCTACTGTGCACCTGTGGTTTTGCTAGGTTATTGTGCACTAAGCAACCATACTTTCCAAGAAGTTTCTAGACATGATTTCTTACAGCAGTCCCATGAAGTTGGTACTATGATTTTTCCCACATAACATGAAAAACCAAGCTGAGAAAGAAAAACTCTTGTGCCCAAGACTGTAAGCTGGGAGTGCTGCCTGGGTTCAAATCCCAGATCAGCAGCTTACTGGCTTTGGGCCTTGGGCAAGATACTTAGTCTCGGAGAGTTCCTTCAGCTCTGAGTAGGAATAAGTGTGCTAAGTTCAATGGCTGCTGTGAATGTTACAGAGTAGTAAGTGAAGTGTAGTATGTTGAGAGGAGGTCCTGGCACACACACTAAGCACTCCATATCAGCTAGGCTAGTTTCAGGTCTATTTGCTGCTGTCTCCTGGGACAGAATTTTTCCACCCGCAGTCGCAGGGATGGAGATCCATTTCCCCTTTCCTGTGGCTCAAGGAGCCCACAGTGGAGTTGGCAGTCACTGTGAGATGAGCTAGGCCTGGGCCCTCCATGGGATCCTCTTGCTCACAAGCTGTTTGGCCCCTTTGGGCTGGAGTATCCTTCCCTGAGGCAACTGTGGCTCCAGGGAAAGAACGTGGTCGGGGCCCAAAGGCACCGCATTCTAGTCCTGCCTTTGCCACTATCCACAGGGAGCCCTGGGAGACCTGGCAGAAGCACTGAGGGAGTCTGTGGAGTGGCAGAGCCCTGTCTAGCCACAGGACTTGTGATGATGGAAGCCATTTTCCGAGTTCCAGGGATCACATGGGCTGCGCTTTAGGACTGGGCTGGTCTCAGCTGGAGTGTCCTACACCTGAGGCCCTTTCCTCAAATCCACTTAGCAGCCCTTGGCCTCAACCCCAGACCTAGTTCAGTCAAAATCCCAAGGACTTCTGTCTGAGGGCTTCTGGCCACAGGGGCAATCAAGTCTTTCAGCTTTCTTATGCCCACCTGCCTGGGCACTGGGGCCCCACCTCCCCCGTGGCCCACTGCCCCTCACCCAACCCCCTCCACAGACACAGTGCCTCAGTCCCATGCCAACTGCTCCAGCTGCTTCAGGTTTGGAGGGGGCTTAGGAACAAGGTCCCCACCCGAAGGCTGACATTCTTGTTGCCATGGAAGCAGTTGCCTTGGAAGCTGCTTCTCTGACTTGAGCTTCTGAATGGTCCAGGAAAGCTGCCTGTCCCCCAGGGACTGGTGCATTAATCATTCTCTTTTCCCTGGTTCTTACCCCTCAAGGGAAATAAGCAGAACCAAATGAAGCTGCAGCCGGTTCTCTCACTCGTCCCATCCTCACGCCACTCTTGGACGGGGTATTTCTGTGAAGGAAAGAGCACAGGTAGCAGCTCTTGCCTCGCCAGGAGATGATGAGAGATTCTGTGGAAGAACCCTGAAGTGCTGTGACTCCAGGAGGACCCAGGCCCCGGAGTGCTCTGATGCTTGGGATGTTTGGAATGAGTCTAGAGACCCATGAGGCTGGGGATGTAGTGCCTGGGCTCACTTAACTGGTACTTTAAGTAGATCCCTGAAGGACCAAAATGTATTTTCTTTCTCAGGGATTACATGGCCCACAAGGAGGAATGAATTGTATTTGCAATCATTGGAGAGGCAAGCATCACAGCCAGTTTAGGAGACCTTAGTGACACTTTGCAGTTCAGAGGAAGATGCCTTTCTAGACTCATTCTTTGACCAGTTTCTCCCTCTGAGGCTGTGTGCTATGTCTTGGATATGATTTAAGTGTGTTTCCCCAACGGTTCATATGTTAGCACTGAGTCCTCAATGTGGCAGTGTCAGGAGGTGGAGTGAGAAGTGGGGTCCACCGCATGGTGAAAGGACACTGGGGATACTGGCCTTGGAAGGAGTGAATGCTGATTCTGTGGAATCAGTGAGTTCTTGTGAGTGGGCTGTTATGGAGCAAGACTAGCTTCTCCCCTCCTTCCTGACCTCTCTCTCACTATGTGATCTCTTGCTTTCACGTATTCTCCTCCCAATGTGATACCCTTAATGAGGCCCTTAATGAAAGTCAAATGGATGGGAATGTTCAATTTTGGACTTTCAGCCACCAAAACTGTAAGCCAAATAAACCTCTTGTCTTTATGAAGTATCTGGCCTCAGGTATTTTGTTACAGGAGAAAAGACTAGAACAGTAAGGGTGCCAATTCCTCTCACTTCACAATGTAGAAATTCAGGAGAGGGACATACTAGAGGACATCCCAGCTGAGCAGAGGCCCAGGTACACAGGTTCTATTGAGGCTCTGGGAAAGTTCCTCTGCCTTCCTATGTTCCCATTTGTTTCCCCAGGTATCCATGATGAAGCTGGGAGTTAAGACATGATAACTGATACTGGCTCCAGGTGTCTGCCCTCCCCATTTCCTCCCTTAACTCTTTCTTTGTCCAGAGGGATTGACAATGTCAAGGAAAATTTCTAAACTGGAATTTGGTCTCCACTTTTGCTCTAGAATCTGATAATTATGGTGCACAGGCATCCTGCCCTTGCTCCTGTACTGTGGCCCAGGCACCCAGGGTGCTGCTGGGAGCATGGCCCAAGGAGTTCTGTCTTGCTGTCTTGTAGAGGAGACTCAGCCCTGGAGTTATGTGAACACTTAAAGGAGTTGAGGGACACACCTCTATGGAGGGTACTCGGGTTCCCAAAGCAGGACTTCTGAGAAACACATTTGCATGGATATTTACTTTGGTGCCTCCTTCTAAAACTAGTCAGTCAAGGGGCTCAGTTACATGTGATAGACACATGAGCTGTTATTTGATGCCTGATTAGAGGAATAACCTGGCAGGAGGCAGGAGGGACATTGGTGAGGCAGTGGAGACTAGGGAACAGCACGGCTCCAGGTCCCTCACATGACCCTAGGGGCTTCTTAGTGCCCCTCCCCCATCCGCATTGAGGGAAGACTGTTGGTAATGGTCAGCTTCCCTGTACCCACAGCCTTCCTGTTTGCTGACCCAAAGTGGCTGTGCAGTCTGAACCTCCTCCCTGCACTCTGACCTATAGCCAGATCTCTCTGGCCACGACACCCTGTAGAAAGCAGAGAGGACATGGACAGAGAGTGGGGCCCTTCAGGTGGTGGGTGCCCACTGGTCCAGGTGTGACCAGGGCTGCCCAGAGGCAGATTGGCCATGCAGGCGCTTCTGGAGAAGGGGAGCTGTTCTAGCCAGCAGGGGACAAACAGGCTCAGGGTAGGGAGGAAAACTTAGGAGGGGAGAGCAGCTGTGATGACCAGAGACCTTGAGTCTGGCTGAGACTGCAGCACGATAGGAAGACGAGGGTAACCAAAAAGAGATCCATAGGACCAGTGAGCAGACTCCATACGGGGCCATAGGACCTGGGGATGTGCCCAGGCAAGGGGCCGGTGGTGTTTGGGAACAGCAAAGGCCCTGATTCGGAAAGGGACAGAGAATGCAAGAAGGTTGGAATTGGAGGCTTGGGGCGGGCACAGAGCTCCAAGATCAAGGTTGGGCTGGGTTGGGTTACTGCTGCCCATGATCAGGTTGGCAAATCCTGCAAGTAGGTCAGTCAGGCTGGGTGGGGCTGCTCAGTCCCAGGAGCTGGACAGTGCCCTGGCCTCCTCCTCCTAGCTTGTTCACAACCAGCACCAACTCCAGCTCTTCCAACCACTACCACTGCTGTTCCCTGCCCACTCCCAGCCATGGGTGGCAGGAAGGGCTTACTAAAGGGGGTGATACCAACTTCCTGAGAAAGGTGCCCTAAATCAGGCCTCCAACTAGGATGCCTCAGCCCTGCCAAAGATTAACAGGATAAAGGATGCAGAGTAGAGGATGAACTTGGTAACCACTTGGAGAGTGGTTACTGACCTCTCTCCTTCTGACCCACTCCCATCTCCTGTCCAGAACTTCTTCCATGTTGCTGTCTCTGGACTCAAAGTAGGAGTCTCAGGTGCACCTCCAGGTCAGAGGGCAGAGAGAAGAGATGAATGTGTCACCAGGAGTCCCCTCACATCCCTGACCTCTGACCCCCATGTGAAACCAACTCATTCTTCCTGCTCACCAACCAACAGTAGAACCTCCAGGGCCGGCCCATCAGGCCCGCAGGACCCAGGCCATGGCTCATATTGCAATCTCATGAATAACTCAGCACCTCCTCTGAATGCATCTCTGCGTCCCCTGGACCAGTGCCCTACCCCACCTCTCACTGCATTAAAGTTTAATAGGCCTAAGTTCAATGGCAATCAGGCAGGCTCCAGAGAGCCAGCTCAGGATGTCCCAGGCAAGGCAGCAGCCCCTGATCCTGGCAAGAGGGGAGGATCCCCTGGGGCAAGCCCAGCTCCCTAGAACTCTGGCAGGCAAAGTAGAAATCTGGCCAGGTGGAAGTCCCAAGAGTGGCCTCCAGCTCCAGTGTTCTTTGGGGGCCTAAGAGTGAGCTGCGGTTCCCAGGTCAAGGTGAGGCTGAGAAGTCTTAGGACAGCCGTGGGATGAGATTATAGATAAATCCAAAGGTTACCAGCCTTGAGCTTTAATCTTAACCAGAAACTCCCACTCCAAGAGTGGAACTTCAACAAGGGGACATCCGAGAGGACCGAGACCCCCATGTAGGCCTGCATGGATGTCCCCGTCAACAGCAGAGACTTCCACTGTCTGCAGCTGGCCTGTGTGGCCCTTGGCCTTGTGGCTGGCAGCATCATCATCGGCGTTTCTGTGTCCAAAGCTGCAGCTGCTGTGGGTGGTGTCTTCCTTGGTGCTGCTGGGCTCGGTGAGCAGGGGCTGGGCTGGGGCAGGGGGGAGGAGAATCTGGTGGGGAACAAGGTCCTGGTCAGGCAAGCCAGAAATGAGGCGGTCAGCTGCATCCCTGGGAACTGGCAGGGGAGAGTGGAAGCTGGAAGTATGTTCCAGGTAGTCTTCAAGGATAAAGGGAACAAGGGGCGGAGATGGCTCAGTAGAATAAGCACTTGCCTGGCAAGCTCAGTGTCCTGAGTTCAATCCCCGGTTCAGGAATAAAGGGAACAAAAAAGACCCCAGTTGAGAGGCCTGGGGCGGGGGCTGGTTGTCACACTCCTTTATGCCTCCTTGTGTCTGGCTCCTTTGCCCCAAGCTGCAGGCTCTCAGGTTTTCCAGTTAAAGGCAAGATTCATCAGCCTGTTTGTGGTAGGTTGGTGGGAATGAGCAAAACAGCTCAGCTGTGCTCAGATGAAGGTTCCTTTATTTTTCTCAGCAGTAGCTCTGTCCATCTGTCTGTCTGAGCCAAGCCCACTGTCATCCCCAGTGACAATGAATGTCATCTTTCACTCTATCCTACCGACTCCTGGGGCTAAAAGCAGAACATGGAGCCCCAGGGTGGTGACCCTAGGCATCTGTGCCCAGAATTCAGGCACAAGGACTTGGTCTGGGGGGTGGGGAGCAGGAGCAGGCAGGGCAGAACCCACGCTATACTCCAGAAGGCATGGGGGGAGCACACAGAGAAGCCTCTGACTGCAGCACTAGGGATCCGGCAGAGGGGAAGGGAGAGTTGTGGTGTTGGGTGTTGGTATCAGCTAGGTCAGCCTCCTCTTTACCTGGGCTGGGTGCACCCAGGAGCCTGTGGGCCTTGCCCCAGATAGGCACTGCCCCCCAACCCAGGCTGGCTGTTGGGGAGCTGCCCTATGTATACATTCACTGGCTCCCATTCACACACATCCACAGTTCCAATCCTGCACACTTGGGCTCTTCCCATGCACACCCAGGTCACCCTCATAAACTACTCTCCAGGTCCACAGCCCACTCAGCCCCTGTACCTCACACAAACCAGGTCTTTTCCCTGTCACAGAAGCCCCTTTGCGCTCCTCCTCTCAGGTCTCCTCATCTTCGCCTACCCTTTCCTGAAAGCTCGGTTCAACCTGGACCACATCCTGCCTTCTATCGGTGAGTCTTCCCCTGAACCCCAGCAAACCCTCTGCCGAGGACTGTGCAGGCCCCTTTGTGCATATTGTGGCTGCACTGAGAGGACCCATGGGTGAGACATGGACGTGCATGGTGCAGTTGCTGTGCATGTGTATTGCGCAGTCGTTGCCATGACTACAGTGTAGCAGAATCCAGACTGTTGCCTGTTGGAACCTAGGGAGCCCATGTTCCTTGAAAGCTTTTCCATTTCTCCACAGCCTCCCAGATCTCCAGACAGCCCCCTCCTATCCTATCCTTAAGGCCCCATAAAGACCCTCCATCTCTCATAGGGTCCCAAGACTTCTGAACAGCTCCCACCTCATCTCAGCCACCCTCAGACTCCACAGTCCCTCAACCCTAAGAGGCTTTACATGATTCTAATTCTTTCTCTCTCTCTCTCTCTTGCTCTCGCTCTCACTCTGTGTGTGTGTGTGTGTGTGTGTGTGTGTGTGTGTGTGTGTGTGTCTGACTGACTGGCTGGCTGGCTCAGCCTGCCCTGGGGGCAGGGCGGGTGTGGCATGTGGTGCCTGGGATTGAACCACAGTCCATGCGCGCTTGCCTAAGCAGGTGCTTTAGACCACTGAGCTATCTCTCTGCCCACCGCCCCGTCCCCCGCAATCTCTTTAAAAATCTACCATATCCTTCAAGAACTCTTGAAGTTCTTCTGCCCCTCCCCAAATCAACTTAAATCATATGGTAGACCTAAAGGAATGTAGTAGAAAAAGACACTAGCAGGGATTAGGCAGCAGGAAGGGCATTCTTTGGCAAGAAGGGCTTGATTTGGGCCTGACTTAGCAACCACAGGGTCTCATTCCACAGGAGGAGGCCTGAGAATCCACCCTAACCCAGGGCCAGACCATGGGGAGGGCAGATCCAACAGCAACAGCAACAAGGAAGGTAAGTTCCTGAAATTCTGGAGTTCACCTTTCATCTCTCCTTCCTGGGTGAGCAGCCTTGTGGGGCCCCGGGAGAGCCTCTGGGGACCATGCACAGGGACATCCCCAGTCAGGGAAGCAGCATCACTGATTGGTTCTTCCCTGTGTTCAGTTGAATCTTTCTTCTCCCAGGTTGAGTTGGCCTCTTCATGTTTGTTCTTGAGGCACCTCTGTCCTGCCCAGAATGGACCCTGGGACAGGGTGGCACCTCACTGTCTCTTGTCCTCTCTCAGGTTGTTGCCTAACTTATTTTCCCACTCCCCTCTCCATGGTGAAATCTGACTCTCAGAGCTGATACCTAAAACTGTACATCTTCTCCTCCCCTCCCCAGCCCTCCCCTCCCCTTCCATCCCCCCCACACTGGAAAATCCCATGGCCAGAGCTGCCCAGAGCCTGCAGACTGTGCCGCAGCACATGATCAGCAGAAGGCCCCAGCCTAGACGCTGTCCAGAGCACTTTCCATTCATTAACTTTCTTAATTCGTACAACCACCACGTGAGGGAGGTACCTCAATGAACTCCAGTTTATACAGGGCACGGAGTCACAAGGAAATCTAATGACACACCTAAGACCGCACAGCTAGGACCTAGATAACTGGGTCTCCTCCTGCTGTGCTACTCTCTTCTTGATGGGCTCTCTTGTCCTTGCTGGCAGTAACTTCCCCTGGGGACTCTCTTTTCTCCCCATCTATCCCAACTCAGCCTTCAGGTCACTGGGCACTGATCCGAGTCCTTTTGGGTTCCTCCACCCCCACGTACTCCAGACAGTCCACATGTCACTCTCTCCCCAGGTGGCCGGAGCAGCCTGTCCACTGTGAGCAAGGCCTTGGAGAAGTTGAAGCCAGGAGCCCGGGCCACCGAGGAAGGCTGAGGAGCTGTCCCTGCCTTGCCTTCCATTCCTGCCTACTACCTGTATCTGATCAGAGCCCCCTTAGTCCTGGTTGGAAGATCAAAGCCAGTGCCAGGGGGAACCAGTGCCCTGGAGGCACCACACCTGCTTTCACCTCCAGCCCAGGCTCTTCAGGACAAGTCTTGCTACAGGGCCCAAAGGGCTCGTACATTTCCCTCTCACCGTTTGGCTTTTCTTTCTGGACTGCAGCTCAGTTTTACTACCCTTTTGATCTCCTGAGTGACTCCTCTGAATCTGAAGCCCAGATCCCCAACTACAGCCAGGAAGACTCCAGTCCCTTGCTTCATTCTGGCTACGGAAGCTAAGCATTGCCCACAAGAACCACAGCTTGGGGCCCCAACTGAGTCCCTCAGCCCCCACAACCTGGCCCTGGGTCTTCGGAGCTCACTAGCTGAATGGATGCCTTTCAAAATGGCAAATCCTGGCCAATTCCTCACGGGAAGCCCCTGAGAAGCTGTGAATCACAGGGGCCATACCCTTGAGGGGTTCAGAAGAGAGAGACTCAAAGAGGGGCAGACTTAAACAAAATGATCACCACTCTGACAGGGGTCAAGACGAGCCACTGACCTGGCATGGGGACAGAGAAGGCACCCCAGTGAGTCCTGTCCTGGGATTCTTGCTGTGTGACTCCACCGCTCAGGGCTTTGCAGGTTGTGGCTCCTCTCTCCCTCCCTCCCACTGATCCTTAACAAGCTTCTGGGCCTTGGCTTTGTCTGTTGCCTATCAGCCTCCCCTCCCTACTCAAAGTCCCCTAATCACACAAACTCTTCACCCTCTTCCAGCAGCCTGGGCCCCCTCATTTGTTTATTTATTTATTTTTGGTACAGGGGGTCAAACTCAGGACCTTGTGCTTGCCAGGCAGGTGCTTATGTCACTGAGCTATCACCCTGGATCCCTCATTCCTGATATTGGTAGGGAGACTCAAAGTCTTTTTCACAAAGCAATTATTATGTCTCCTTGAATATAGTGATTGCCTACTGAATGTTGTGCCTTTTCCAGTCCTTAGTACATGACAGGAAATACGACAAGTGCTCAGGACAGCCACAGAGTGTCAATGCTTAATTTTAGAGGGAAAACAACCCCCTGGGCTTTTCTGGAGAGTCACACTGGGCCCTATATATCACAGGGTTTGGGGCAAGGAGGCCCAAGCGTTCCTCATTCCTCTCCTGCACTTGTAGGTGTTATTTGGCCTTCATAGCATTGTTTGGCCTCTACAGAGACACCTGCCCCCTGTGGCCTCTGTCCTGGTTGGACAGAGACAAGCTAGCGCACACTTATTCTCCAGGATCAGTGCAGATGACTCCTCTTTTTAGAAGCACCCCCAATTTTCACTGAGCTCCCACAGCCCCAGGGCTTCCTCTGGGGGGTTCTTGTCTACCTGCCCCCCTTCAGAGTGGGAGCAGAGGGTCAGGCACACAGAAGGCACCCAGTGAATGCTGAGAAACCAAGGGGAGCAGAGCCCATCTCATTGTGCAGATGGGAGGGCTGAGGCCCTGAGGAACAAAGGCTGGTCCAGTCCCCCAGGGCGAGTCAAGACGCCAGGTTTGCACTTAAGTCTCCTCTCTGCACCCAGGGCTCTCGCTGGCCTCCACAGAGGCCACAAGGCTTCGCTCCCTGGCTACAGAGGGAGCCATTGAGCAGGGACTGCAAGTCACAAGTGCTGGCAGAGGAGGAGACTGATTCCTCCTCTAGTCTGAGGGAGTCAGCTTCCTCTCCTCTTCACTTCCCCTCCTCTCCATTTCCTTCCTATCTGGTCTCTGAATCTTCTCCTTTCCCTCTACCTTTTCTTCAACTGTATATCATGGACAAATAATTCATGCTACTCCTAATCAATGAGGAAACCCGTTCTCGCATTCACCTTCAGTCTTTACCCCACCCAAGGGAAGAGGAGGTGGGAATTGAGAGTATGAACTAAGCTTACCTCACCCAGATCAACCCCTCTCGGCCATGACCTCCTCGAGGCAGGACCATGGTATCCCCAGTGGTTTGAAGAGCCAGGTGCAGAGAGGTACTGGACATTAGGGCGGAATAAATTAAGGATTAAGCCCAGAATGGTGGCACACACCTGAAATCCACCACTCCAGGAGGCTGAAGCAGGAGGATCACAAGTTCAGACCCAGGGCCAACTTGGACAATTTACCAAGACCTTATTTTAAAATTAAAACTAAAATAAAATAAAAAATAAATAAACTAAGGAGAGATCAGCAAAAGCCTCTGTGTTGTGGGGTGGTCAACGTTGGGGTATGGGAACTGGGGGGAAGCAGGTTTCAGGAAGTCCTTGAGCCCAGGCATCATCAGCAGAAGGAGGCTGCATACTCATAGGGCCACTCCAGAGGAAGGGCCCCTGTCACAGGGACATCTAGTGGGGTTTGTAAACAAATGTGTGACTGAAGGAAGGGGGAGGTGGGCGGACAGACCCTCCAGGCTGAACCCATCAAAGCCTGGAAAGCCAGCCCCACACATTCTTCTTTACTCCCTAGGCTTCTGGGCTACACAATCCAATCTGGGGTCTTCTGCCAGGGCGGTCCTAGCCCTTACCGAGGCTAGAAGCTCCAAATTTGCTAGCTGCATGCACAAATCCCACCAGGAAATAGTCACCCCACAGGGGCTCATTCATGGCCACACCCCTTTCTAGGCTGCAGGCTTGGAGGGGGTTGATTGGGGAAGGGGCACTGACAAGCCCCATCCTTGGAAACGCCCCCAACCCTCGCAGCGCCAGGATCCTCCGGGGCGGCCTGGGGATCCTGGGAAGCTGAAGGCAGGGCCGGTGCCACCTGTAGCCGCGGCTGGCTGGAGTTGCACTCTGCCCAGGCCAGGCTCCAGCGGGTGCAGCAAGAGTGCGTGGGCGGGAGGGAGTTATTTGATGGGGAGCTTGCAAACTGCGGAACCCAGAGGAGCGAAGCGAAGCAGAACGGAGGACGGCGCGAGCTGGGGGCAGGAGGCACCTTGTGGGCATCAGACGCGGTGGGTAGCGGGCGCCGCGCGAGTGGGCGGCAGCGGGGCCCACGCTCCCCTACAGCCAGCCGCAGCCACCACCACGGAAGCTACCCCGAGGGAGCCGGCGGGCCCGGAGTCCCTCACCCCCAGACCCCCTCGGGGCTCTGATCCAAGATCTGCACGCGGCCCGAACCCACCCCGCTGCACCCCTTTGGCCCCGTGCCCTGCCCCGGCCCCCATCCTGAAGTCCATGCGCTGCAGACACGCGCACTCCCAGCTGCCCTGCGCTCAGAGGAGTGGGTTTGGACAGCGAGGAGGTCCACGCACCGCCTCAGGCAAGTCAAGGTTGCTGGAACTGGGGGAGGATGGAGGGAGGTGTAGGGTTTGAGGAGGAGCTGATGAAGGAGGGAAGCAGACACTGCCTCAGGCCCTGAGCACCCGGGAAAAGATCAGTGCCTGGCAAGGATCAGACCCCTGCCCTTGAGAAAAAAGAGGTGAGAAAGACTAAGAAGGACGCAGAGACAGGAGCCACCCCGTGGACTGGCTATCTCAGGTTCTGCTTTGCCCTGAACCTTCCCCTCTTAACTCAGTGGAATCTGCCCCAGGACCTCTCCCCCGTCCACGCACTGCCCTAGGCCCAAAGTGAGGCTGGAAGCAGAGGAAAGCAGGCACCAGGCAACTTCAAATCCAAGAGACAAGCAAGAAAGCAGCAGACAGACATGGGCCCTCTGACCGAAGCCTCCCTTCACTGTCCATTGAAGGGTCAGGGGCTGCACTGGGAACACAGCAGCAAGCGAGGCCAACTTTGTTAATCCTAGCTCTCAAGGAAGCAGATCAGAGGATGCAGACCTTGACACGGAATCACATCAGGGTGCCCAGAGGGAATCAGGAGTTTGGGAGCCATGAGTTGAGGACTTAGAAGACTAAAAGAGAGAAGCAGCATCCCAGCTGCCCTGGAAGGTGAGCTCAAACAACCAGTTGAAGATAAAGCAGGCTTGGGCTCAGGCAGGGAGAACAGCAGTCCCACCACAGCTGCTGGCCCCCTTGCCACCCTTGGCCAGGGCAGCTCAGCTCCATCTGGAGGACCTGGGAGCCAGGAAAGCTGCAGTGGGAGCCATGAACACAGCACGAGCAGCAGCAAGACTAGGAGAAAGGTTGGGCTAGAGACATACTTGGTGGGAGGAGCTACAAGACTGGGATGGGCTGGAAGCAGGTTGGGGAAGCCTGTGGGAAAAGAGGGGCCCAGGTCTGACTGAAGCTGTGGGTTCAATGGGATATGGGGACACTGAAGGAACCTGTACCTAAGAGATAGTATTTCCAGGAAGCAGGGCTTGCCAAGCCAAAGCTAAGACCTCCAGGCTGAGCAGTGGCCAATGAGCTCAGCAACAACAGTGGCTTGGGGGGCTGGGGAGATAGCTCAGTAGAATAAGTGCTTTCCCTGCAAGCATAAGGGCCTGAGTTCAATCCCTGGTTCCACAAAGAAAAAAAAAAAACCCAAAAAACAAAAAACAGTGGCTTGGTCAATGGAGAACCAGGAGCACAGTGGGACAGAAGCCAGGCTGGAGTGGAGGATGCATGAAGTGAATACAGTGGGCTGTGCTGTCAAAAAGGGAAGAAGGGCTGAGAAGGGCTGGTGGATACAGTTCAGTGGCACAGCCCTTGCCTGGAAAGTGCAAGGTCTTGAGTTAAATTCCAGATTTAAAAAAAACAAAAAGGAGAAAGAGCTGGACAGAGTGGTAAACACTTGTCATCCCAGAGGCTTGGGAGGCTGAAGCAGGAGGATTGCAGGTTTGAGCCCAGCCTAGTCAAGTTATTGAGACCCTCTCTTAAAATATAAATAAAAAGGGCTAGGGATCAAGCTCCACGCAGAGACCCTGGCTTCAGTCCCTAGTGATCAAAAAGAAAAAAGGAAGAAAGAGAGGGAGCAAAGAAAGAAGGGAGGGAGAGAGAAGGAAAGGGACAGATAAAGAAAGAAGAAAGAAAGAAAGAAAGAAAGAAAGAAAGAAAGAAAGAAAGAAAGAAAG